ACAACAACAACAGCAACAACAACAGCAACTACTACAATAGCAACAACATAACGACAGCATAAGCAACTGACAACAACAACAAAATAAAATTCTGTCAAATCAAACTATATTGCATTATTTTACGGAACATTCCTAGAGTATTGCTCATTTTCCTGACGCGCGACTGCCATCAACGTCAATCATTATATCAATATCTTTACGGTACATATATACCTTACATACATTCTTTTGTTCACCTTTTTTAAGATTTATGTTTTGCGCATTGCCTTTGCCACTTTCAAATGCCATTCATTTTTTAACTTCACATACTTGAAAAAGTTCGAACATATTTGATTAAAGATGTGTGCTCGTTGACTTTGGGACGTGCACAACCTATTGCACTTCAAAGGCCAATAACCCAGCTATCGAGTTTACACGCAAAAGATCTATAAGCGTCGGAAATGAACTATGTTCCTACATGAAGGCTCTCAACCTTTTCAACCAAAAAGGGTTCAACGCACTGTAGTTGATGATTTTTCAAAGATTAAGAAGAGATTTCATATTGAAGGACAGCTCCAGGTGTGGACCTGAATAACGTAAAACGATTTCAAAGCTATCAAAATGTCTGTTACTTGAGAGGCGGAAGGTGGGATAAAAGCTCGACCAATCTTTCTTTATCGTTCTTTAATATATCTTTCATTACGTGTGCCACAGCCGACATCTTCAATTCTGAATTTGTTTTTCACAGAAGGTGGAATGATAGGTATCTCCATGACGACGAGGCCTTACTTTCTAAAAATACCGACGCCTATTCTAAGAATAAATCATTTTTGACACAAACACTTTCTGAAATATTCGAGGTTTGAAATGATAAACTTTATTCCACGTGTATAGGAACCGCGTTGATCGTAAACTCTCCTAAAGGTTCTCTTATTTCCAATACTTTTACAGTAAAGTAATGATATTTTTTACATATTTACAACGTGGAGGATGCAAGAGAACTACCCAATCATTTTTGACACAAACACTTTCTGAAATATTCGAGGTTTGAGATCTAAAATGATAAACTTTATTCCACATGTATTGAAACCGCGTTGATCGTAAACTCTCCTAAAGGTTCTCTTATTTCCAATACTTTTACAGTAAAGTAATGATGTTTTTTACATTATTTACAACGTGGAGGATGCAAGAGAACTACCCAATTCGTTAAACAAAGTGCTTGCAACCTAATAGGGCATTGATAAGAAAATTACTCCCCCTTCAAAACCTTAATTTTGTCCGAAAATGCAATAAGTTTTCCAAGGACATCATAGTTAACTACAGTTTTCAAAAGGGCCAAAAAATGAAGTCGTTCGCTTACAGTATAAGGAAGATAAATAAATGGAGTAATCAAGATTTTCTTCAACAGCAAATTTTTTTGGTCTATAGTTAGCGTGATAATAGCTTGTTAGCTTGATCACCTATCTCAAGTAGCAGCCTTCTCTAGTAGGCTCTAATAATCTCACAGGAATTAACTTTGGCTTTTGACTCGAAAGTTTAAACTTCTTCAACAGCCATACAAACCTCTTTATTTTCCTACTACATGTAACAACATTCTCTGTAACTTCATCTACTTTATATCTTTATCCTACAATTCTGTAAATAATTTATACTTTGTGTTTATTTGTGTGTGAATAAATTTGAACTTGAACTTGAACTTTGTTGGTGGCTTGAAAAATCCAGTCATACTCCACCAAGTTAAAAGGTCAAACATGCGTTGTAAACCTTTGAACTGTGTGCAAAAGTTGCTTTGGTTTTGGCTATTATAGATGTATATATATACATTGGTGTGCTTAACATTCATTTATCTGGAGATATCCTGTCAATAATTGCACCTCATTCACAATATCAACCCTAAAAATTGTCTTTCATCATGTCTATGCGGCTTTCCGACGACAATCATAAATCACACTCGTTAAGTTTATCAGCTGAGGGCACTTGAGCTGAGGCCACTGAATGGGATACCTGCGTTGACGTACAAGAAACCCATGAAAAATGATTGGAACTTGAAGGGAATGAGAATCTCTTAAGACAATTACGTAAATCACTTGAAAAATAGATTCCATCAGATTAGTAACTAGGTCTAATAAAAGTAGCCTTGAAACTCGGTGTAGTAGGCGAAGACGCCGTTCTGTATTCTTCGTTTGCACGTTAAGTCATCGCGGCCATGTTGGTACCATTTAACAAAAGATTTATCATTAGCATCCTTAACAAAAGATTTATCATTAGCATCCATTGTTAATGGCACCACAATGGCCGCCATGTTTTTGTCTTTTAACTCTTGGAAATGCTTGCAACCCATCAATGGTTCTTCGTGTTTTTCAATAACGCAACCATAACTAAACTTGACTCTGACAGGTCTCTGATCTCTCTCTTTCTCTCTGCACAAGTGTTTTCTGTTCGTCAAACGTTTCCACGTGTTGGTCATTGGGAAGATTAGTCGGTGAATCCTAGTTGACGTAGAGTATATTTCATACAAACTCACTTACAATTTCGAAAAGATAATGAAATAGGAAGTTCAACGAAGTTCAACGTTATACTCCTCTTTAAATATTAAACTGTCTTCTCAATTCCTTGAATTTGCGTGGTTTTTTTTTTTCAGTTTTGTTGCCGGTCAAGTAGGATGCGCACGCAACCTTTAGAAAACGGTCAAATTCCAAAGATCTTTTGAAATTCAAAATTTCTATGTTGAAATAGATTAGAGAGTCATTCCACTATTCTAATGCTCTTGTCATATTCAATAAATCTCTTCAAGGTGACATAACCAAATCAAGTCCCTAAAATCTTTCTCGGTGATGAGCTTTAGATTAGGATTTTTCAATTGCCCGATTATAGTATTATCCCTTCAATTGAGGATTAACTTGAAGAAGCTTCGCCTGGAGAAGAGCGAAATAAATTAATGATCAATTGAATGGGCTTCAATAGACCCCTATTTGAAGCCAACGCACTTGATATGCCACTAACTTGATATGCCTTATTCTCAAGAGGTTTGTCATGTTGGTATAGCATTCTTTCTTTTTCATGTTATTTCGAAACACGAATCAAAGGTCAATAACAAATTAAGAGGAAAGTGTTTTCAACAACAAGCAATAATGGCAAAAAGCGCCAAAAACTAGACCTTCGTATGAATTTTGATCCCAAATTTCGTTTTGGGTTAACACTCAAAACCTTTTTTAACAGTTAGAATCTGATGTACTATGATAAAATGCTTGTTTGAAGCGGTATTTTCAATTGTACAAAGATGTTTTGTTGCATTTGTGTTAGAATGTTGCTTTGTCAGGCTTTTTTATAGAAAATGTATGGGAAATAAGCAAATGAAGGCCTAAACCTCATTTTCAAATAAAATTTCTACACTTCCAAACAAGTTTCTGAATAACAAGATTTTAGCCTTGTACAACAGCCTTTCTTCAAGAAAATAGTTTTTGGCGCTCACCGCTTGAATACGAAAGGGATTCTCTCTTAAAAGAAATTGATTCAAAGCGATGCCGAATAAAGTAAATGTCTTAAAAATTGTTGTCCCAGGTCTTTAATTCTGATAATATTCGAGAGGATATGATAATCCAGAGCTAACCAAAGAGCCAAAAAGGGATTGGTGTTAACTTGAGTGTAATACGCAATTGTCTGGCACTATTTAAGGCGCTAAACACTGAAATAATACAAACAGTACTCCTACTGGTGTACGGTTGACCGAGCCTGTTTAAAGCTTTGGAGGTTAAGCGTTAAGTTAGGTTAAAATATGGTTCCTGTTCTTCGGTCGTTTACTTTCAGTAAAGCTTATCTCATAAGGGGTTCAGTTTTCATCTGATATACTCTGAATTCTACTTCCGGCTGCAAAAGGATCTGTGTGTGTTCTTTTTCGAGTTTGTTTTTGGATAGTCCCATACTTGAACATATTGTTCCTGCTCTTTGCTCCGTACATTCCCAGCAAAGCTTATCTCATAAGTGTTCAGTTTTCATCTGATACTCTGAATTCTACTTACGGCTACAAGAGGGTGCGTGTGTTCTTTTTCGAATAATGTTTTTGGAGAGTCCCATACTTGAACATATTGTTCCTGCTCTTTGCTCCGTACATTCCCAGTAAAGCTTATCTCATAAGTGTTCAGTTCTGATACTCTGAATTCTACTTACGGCTGTGTGTGTGTCCTTTTTCGAGTAATGTTTTTTTCAAGAGTCCCATACGTTAATATATTGTATGTAATCTTTACTCCGTGCATTCTACGTCCATGCCCTGACTTGGGGTTTTTCTCTTAGATCAGCCCGGGGATTGTTTCAGGGTTCGATAAAGTTGAAAATTTCGTGCCACATCGTAAAGTGCATAGCATATACTCGTGAAAAAGTGAACTAACAAAATTGTACAAATGTAATAGTGCAAAGTTTTGTAGGTCTACCTACGGTCTACTGAGGTTACTAATTTGTGCAAGCTTGTGCAATTTCTTAAAACGTTTTACACGGATATATGGTATTCACTCTAAGGCCTAGGGCAAACGTCGAACTTTCCATGCACCGAACTTAATTACATCAAAGAATGCCGCCTCATTATCACCTGATGTCTATTGTTTTTAATGAGTTCGGTGCATAGAAAGTTCGACGTTTGCCCTAGGCCTAAGGGATATAGTTGATCTAACCGATTGTTCTAATCAGTTTTCGATTTTTTTTTTCAACAGCCTAATAACATTCTACTAATGACAGAAATACGCTACCCCGAAATAAGGATCATAGACTTCGGACTTGCTAGAAAAATTAAACCTGGTGAACAAATATGTCTCATTGTTGGCACTCCTGAATACGTAGGTTAGTTGTAGGTATTTATGTTATACGCCTCCATCAATCCTTTATTTCATTGCCATCCACCCATTCACTCATTCACCCATCCATCCATCCATTCATCCATCCATCCATCTATCCATCCATCCATCCATCCATCCATCCATCCATCCATCCATCCATCCATCC